TGGAAGGCACACAGAGGCACAAGAGGGTTAGTTACTTTTCTGGGCTCTTAGACAGTACGGCAGAGACAGGACTCAAACCCAGGCAGTCTGACCCTGTCCAGACTCACTGTCCTGCGTAGATGGGACACCAGGGAAGCAGGAACAGAGGCTAGCTGTCCCAGATCCCAGGGAGCTCTGGCGGACTAGGATCGAGTCACTGGACTGTCCAGGGACTGGAGGAACAGATGCTGTTTAAATAGCATCCTGTGGAGTAGCAGAACGGATAAGAGATAACCAGTGTGGTGAGGGTTCGGGACAGAAAGAATCCGCCTGCACTCCTGAAGGGACAGGAAACTGGTTCCGTCTTATGAAACTCAGTCTGTAGTTGTTCCTCATATCAGAATAGAACCAACATATGACCCAGATATACCACCTATGGGACCTTTGGGTATACATTCCAAGAATATAAAATTGGTATCTAGAAAACACATCAGTGCTTCCTTGTTCACGGTGGCACAATTAACTACAGCCAAGAGTGAAATGTTTGTAGATACGTGAGCAGATACAGAAAATGTAGGATATGTGTGTGTGTGTGTGTGTGTGTGTGTGTATTTCAGTCATCATGGCTAACCTTTCTATTTGCTGCAGTATGAATGAGGGGCCTTTTGCTAAGGAAAATCAGCTCACTGAAGGAAAATAAATGCTGCAAGACCTTACCCATTCAGGGAACCTGAGAAGTCAGATTCACAGAGGCAGAGAATGGGCTTGCCAGGTGCTGGGGCAGGGGTGGGGGTGGGGTAGGGATAGGAGTAGGGAGACATTGACCAAATGGTGCAGAGTTTCAGTTGTAAGATAAATCAACTCTGGAGATCTAACATGCAATGAATAATAATAAAACACATTGTATACTTGAAATTGATGAGAGACATCTTGTGTCCTCAATACACACACACATACACACATATGTGTGTGTATATATACATATGCACACATACACACAGTGGTAACTATGAAGCAATGGATGAGTTCATTAACTTGGCTGTGACAACCATCTCCCATCACATATGTGTATCAAATCATTATTGCTAAGTACAAAGATGCTCATGTTCTGTTAATCATTTTTAATTGTGGTAAAAGGAATGAAATAGCACACCCATGGCTTCCACCTTCCTGCTCCATTTTCTTCCTCAGGAGCTCCTGGCACTGATGTAGATTCATGGCTTTTTTATTGCTTGTTTTGTGCTGCCCCTGCGGAGTGTAAGCTCCCCAGGGTGGCCATCAGTGCCATCACCTCTCCTGCCCGGGACAAGGAGTGCAGTTGGTGCTCAATGCATGCTGGGATGTTGGAGAATCTGAGTGCCCATGGGTTGGAAGGCGGAGCAACCAGGAAGCTGGATGCGTGTTTCTGCTGACACCAGTCTTGCCTGATCTGTGAGGCAAAAGATAAATGAGCACTAACAAACAGTGGTTAAAACCCAGGAGATGGGGCTGTTAATGGTGCTCCACGCAGGGGAGAGGGACAGGTCTCATTGCCCAGGCCCTTTGGTGGCAGCATCTGAAGAAACAGGCTAGGTTTCACAGGAGATCTGATCTTCCCTTGGCACCGCTGAAGCCTACCAGGAAACAGACACCAATGCCATATTGTGTCGGGAAAACACTGGGGACAGGGCTGAAAAACAGTTCTCTCATCTGCGGGGGGTCCCTGCAAATGCTCCAGCCAGCAGAGATATGATCTGAGCGAGGCAAAGGGGAATCCAGTTCAACCCGGCTTAGTTAGCTGGTGTGGGCTCGCACCTCTAGAACCTGGTATGGGTCAGTTTAGTTTGTAGGTGTTTAGGTAAAGTCCAATTCTGGAAAAAGGTTTCCGGTAACAATTATGTCAATCTCATGTGCACCATCCAGCTTAAGGCTGCTTAAGAGCCCAGGGGAGGATCAGGTGTGCTCTCGGCCACACAGATGTCCTAGAGGTCACTAAGCTAAGAAGTACGTGTGACATCTGTCCTAGGTATGGTGTCTACTGACTGAGGAAAAAAAAAACCCCGCTCAAGTTATCATTCTAGGAGGGGAAGGGTCTGGGATAAACGCAATAGCCTGGGGGATTGGGGCATAGCCTAACCCTACATACAGCACAGGCCACCAGGCTATTAATAGCATCTACTCCTAGCCTGGAGGGTGGGAAACAGGTATAAACCTCCCTTCCATCGAAGAGACAAGCCCGTGTGCTTCCCATTCCTGCTTTTGCCAGTGGGCGCCTGAGTGAGCACAAGGACCTTGTGCCCTCTACATATGGTGGGCAAGGAGAACGTGTTGCTGAATAGAGGCTCCAAAGTCTCAGCAGCCTGGCATGAGGAGTTATCTTTCTAGACCTTTCTCCCTGCCCCTCAGCGCTGCCATGTGACCAACTGCCTGGTGCCATGGCGAGGATGGGAGGAGGCTGCTTAGGTAAGGTGTGGAGGAGGACGGTCCCTGTCATGTAAGTGAACTAAGACAGCTTCTGTCGTCACCACCCAAAGGGAGATGTGGTCAAGTGGCCGGTGATTTAAAGCCACAGAAATCCCAGTATGAGAAACTAAAAGGCCAGTGCTCTCAGTCAGGTGGCCATGTCACTGTCCCTAGCAGGACGGATGGGCTGAGGAACAAGCCCGGGAGGCAGCTGGGTGTGAATCCTGACTCCGTCATTCGCTGGCAGCGTGTGCATATGCATATGTGTGCATGTGCTTTGTTCATGTGCACACGTGTGCATGCATGCATGTCTGTGTGTCTGTGTGCCTGTGTCTGTATTTTGTCTGTGTTAAATCTGAACCCACAGAACTCTAAAATGGGTCATATTGCGTTATCCCAGATACTAGCCAGAAGCCAAGGGATAATTTTGGGATAAGTCCCTCAGGCAAGGCTGTAAACACTTGAAAACCTGCTCAGCTGCTCTTCAAAACCATCCTTTGAGCACCGCGGTGCCTTGGTTAGACAGAGGTACCAAAGAGCTCGCCGCATGGAGTATTTAGAGCCGCACCTCGGGCTGGACTGCATTGTTGACGTGGGGAGTGGAGAGCTCTGCAGCTGGGATCCGCAGAGAACAGGCTCTGACTTCATTTTATGAGTTGGTGTCAGTCCTTGTCTCCTAGTTTGGGAGAAGTCCTTGCCGATTCTTGTTTAGGCTCTTGCTTAGATCGCCATAGAGCACTTCCTCACATTGACCACTAGATGGCAGGAGTGTTCTTTCTCATCCCACTTGAGCGGATACCCTGGGCTGTATTGCCGCCTTCATTCCTTCCTCAAGGAAACTTCCCATTAGAGGACCCACTCCACCCCAAATGCTCACCCCAGTGCCCAACACGCGGTAGGTCTTCAGGAAACATCCGCTGTCCTTTTTATTGTTAGCGTTTCCTTTTTCTCAGAGAAGGGACTGAGCACAGGGACCCTAATCATCCGAAACCAGCCTGGGGCTGCTTGCTCCAGCACTGGGCCCTTCAGCCTCCTTCGGGGGTAAGAGCCACTGCCTTGGCTGGCTGCGTGGACCCTGCCGTGTCTGTCTGCTCTCATCATTAAGATGCTGTCTTAGTCCCTGCGTGACCTTAAATCAGTGATTTTGATTTTCAGATTTTTAAACAGCTCGGCTTTCCATCTGTATAAGAGAAGCTGTAATAGTTGTCTTATTTGAGGAAGACTTCGAGACAAGAAACTATGTCAGAGCAGGGGCTCTGAACGGTGGTCACTATCGCTAAAGCCCTCTGTGTTCCCATAACCTCCCCCTTCTCTTCCACTTCTCAGCCTCTGCACATGCGCACTCAAGGCTCCTGCCCTCAGGCGGCTCGCAGTTCACTTTTTCCTGGTTTCTCTCCTGTGTCTCTTCCTTATAAGCCACAAAGATTCGGGTGGTGTCATCTGCTCTTCCTTCCGGTCTCTCTCTAGGAAGGACATCATCGTTGCCAATACCAAACTCAGGTGTTCGTGTGCTCCCTCATGGTGCTGTTTTCCAAACTGAACTGTTAGCTACCCGGCTGTTGCTTCCACGGGGTTGTAGCTGACTCTGAGATCCAAAGGTGTCATGGGGTTGCCCAAGTCACTCGGGAGGGAGTCACACGGTGGGAAATTGGGTTCTAAGGGCTCATCTTTCTTTCTTTAACTTTTGTCCTATTTATATTTGGGGCTATACATAATCTTTTGCTGCTAGAGGAAATCGTTGGTGACCGCTGCTCTAAGTGATGGGTGGGGAGGAGACAATTCAGGAAAACCTTCAGGCCTGAGACTGAGAGCCGGGTTGTGGGCTTCAGTCAGAGTTCAAGGGTCTAACATTCCAGAGGGCAGGGCTTGACTCTCTCCTGGGTTCTGTGGGCAGGGAAAGGGTCCTTCAGTGGGCTCCAGGCTTTGGTAGGGGACTGGGCTAAGACCACCTCATTCCTCATTCTTGGAGACAAAGGGTCCTGAAGAAGAATGGTCTTGGCAGGGTTTAGTCTGGCAGTCTCTTTTTTTTTTTTTTTTTTTTTTTTTTGGTTTTTCGAGACAGGGTTTCTCTGTGGCTTTGGAGCCTGTCCTGGCACTAGCTCTTGTAGACCAGGCTGGCCTCGAACTCACAGAGATCCGCCTGCCTCTGCCTCCCGAGTGCTGGGATTAAAGGCGTGCGCCACCACTGCCCGGCTAGTCTGGCAGTCTCTTGAGGAGGTGTTTTAACATCAGTTTCACCAGAAAATAGAACTTATTATTTTTTAATTTTTATTTTGTTATTTATTTATTTATTTATTTGAGACAGGGTCTCTATGTGTAGCTTCGACCGACCTGGAACTCTCTATGTTAGCCAGGCTGACCTTGAACTCTTAGCGATCCTCCTGTACCTGCCTCCCGAGGTTGGGGATGAAAGGTGTGCCACCACACTACCCAGTTTAAATTTGTAGCTTTAACAGTTTAGGAGTTATGCAGAACCCCGTTTGCCGTCACCATCCATGTGACTAATTGGGGGCTCGGGGAGGCCGTTAGCCACACGTCCCACAATCCACACTCAGGACTCTTCCCTTTCTGTGTTGCAGTGCCCTGGTTTCCAAGGACCATTCAAGAGCTGGACAGATTTGCCAATCAGATTCTCAGCTATGGAGCAGAACTGGATGCAGACCACCCGGTGAGCCCAGGTCTTCCCACCTTCCCACCTTCTTTCCAACTTCTCTTCCTTTCCCTTCCTCCCCCATCTCCAGCTTGGAGCAATGTAAGTTCCTACTTATGCCAGGGCAGCACTGTCGCCATTACTATGGTTACTATGGTTACTACTGTGGAATGCATGTGAACCAGTGACTAGGAAAGGCTGTCCCTATATAGCCGTGTGTATTTCTAATTCTGCCTTTGCTTACTTTATGGGTGTTTAAATCAAGCCCAGCGAGGGGACAGTGACAGAGGTGACGCTGGCCCTTCAGAGAGCCGAGCAGAGGGCTCTAGTCAGATGAGGGAAGAGGGGCTGACGAGGGGGTCTTCAGGAATGGAGATGGGTGGGTGGCACCATGGGCAGTGTGCCATTATGACCTTATGTTCTCCAGGCTCAGTCAGGCAGTGGACTCTTTGGCCCTTTTAACCTGGAAGCAGTTTGTATCAACTAGGTTTTAGCGTGGCTGGTACTGGAGCATGTCTGTGTCCATCCAGACTCTCCTCATAGCCTTGTGGGGTGTAATAACCAATAGGAGGCTCTCTCTTCCCAAAGGCAGTTTCCTATAAGAGGTTTAAGGCTTCTGTCTCACAGACTGCCCAGAGATGTCAGGTAGCTTCTCAAATATGCTTTGTCTATTGTTGGAGCCTGGGATCCTTGGACCCTTAACCCAGTGCTCAGGGGAGTTGAGGACACAGGCTTGGCTGGCGACAAGAAACCCAATCTCCTGCATGCCAACAAATGGGGAGCCATAGGCCAGCCTTTCAAAACACGAGCAGTTGGCTCAGGCGCATGCTCCAAACTAAGTAGAAAGCTTGTGAGCTGACGTGGTTGGCATGAGAAAGACAATGAATATGCCAGCAACTCAACTTCAGTCATCAGTTTTCTCTTTATACCATCCTTCAACGAGAGGGAGAGAGAGAGAGAGAGAGAGGAGAGAGAGAGAAGGAGAGAGAGAGAGAGAGAAGGAGAGAGAGAGAGAGAAGGAGAGAGAGGAGAGAGAATGCATGACAGAGTGAGCGAGAGAGCATTTTATAAATAGAAACAAGGTGAATTCATCCTACCCTCTACCTTCCTAGCAGAAGAAATATTATTTTCACACTTTTCTAAAATAATGTTTGTGTCTGGGAGAGGCCCACACACGCACAGCCACACGAATGTACACATATGTGTCTGCCTGTCACTCTGCAGGCATTGCCGACCGCAAGCCGAGCTTCATCGCCACACTCCAGTGAAGATTTCTGTCTGACATCTCCAAAGGGACTTCTAATGGCTCTCCAGAATCTTAGCTGTGACGTTAGAATAAATTATTCAGAGCTGAGGACAGAAGTTGTATTTAGGCATCTGACTGAAGCCTTAAACACTGTGTTTCACAGACTTGGTGGTGAGCCCTTGTGAGCCTCGGGCAGGAGGTTTGCGACTTCTAAGACGGCCTGGGCTAGGCAGTGAGACTCTGTCTCTAAAACCAAGCTAAACTAGGCCAGACCAAAACTAGATCAAACCAAATGAAATTAAAGCAAACTGAAAACAAAGCGAAAATGTCGACTCTGGAGGGACAGGTTTTCTGTTGTCTTCCTGTAGCTGATACGCTCCATTTCACAGAGCCTAGAGGTGGCAAAGGCCACACTACATGGCTCTGATGTTTTCCCTCTAATGAGCCTCTGCCTGGGCCTCTCAACTGAGGGCCCTGCACACAGAAACATCTTGGGAGGTTTCTTCTCCCGAGGAAGGCAAGTGCAGCCTGACCCAACCTGTGGACGCACACATGAGAACTTTTCCTCCCTCCCCAAGCCCCATCGTCTGGCCTTGACCCTCTGTTCTTCCCTTTGGCCTCTATCCTAATCATTTGGGTGGGTGGGAGAGGCCAGTCCAGAGAGAGAGGGACATGTCCTTCCCTTTAGTCTCATGTTCCCTCAGAAGCCAAAGCTGGCCTTCAAACTCTCTGGAGTTCATTTCTCTTTGCTAACCCAGGCCACAGCTTTGGCTCCCCAGCCTCTCCTTGTCAAGAATTTTATCACCAAAACAGAACTTATCAGGTACACCGTCCCCCTGTAGAGGAGGCGCCAGGCTCTCTCTGTTCCTTCTGTCTTTCATCAGATGCTGGGAACTAGGGCCAAGCATAGAGCAAACCCACGGGTGTCTCCCTGCAGCTGCCAGCCCTGCCCCCCTCCGGGCCTGGCCTCAAGGTGTGAGCTGCAAGTAGACACCAGCCTAGCAGTGAAGGGGTTGTTCTTCTTCAAGGACCCTCTGTTCTGCTCTGTCCCTTGCAGTCAGCGTGATCCCGTCCTCCCCTGACCCCCAGCCCTTGGCAGGATGCATTTGTGTTTGACCTAGTACTTCGGAGTCTCCCAAACAGTTACTTTGTGACAAAAACCCTTCCACTAAATGGGTCTTCTCTTATGTTCCCAATGTCCTCATGCCCTTCCCCCGTTTTCTGCTTCAGATCCCAAATCTCAATTTGCCAGCATGGTTAGGCTTGGAAAACCTTAATGAAAATGCTGTGCTTTATTTTTATTTATTTTTTTTTACACTTCAGGACCCTTCAGCAAATGGCCTAATGGGGCTTCACTTTCTACCATTCTATCTGATAGCAAAACAGACAGAACTAGACATTCTTCAGAGTGCTTGCTGGTGTGAACATCTTTCACTATTTTGCAAGGCTAGAGAGAAACACAGACTACTCTCTCTTAAGACTGGCTAGTCCAGATGACAAATGTCAAATTCGAGTTGCTATTCTGACCTCAAATATGAAGATATAGGTGAGGTGTCTATTGTTTAGTCCAGTAGAGATGGTCCTCCCACGGCAAGCTGACGGTGCCTGGGAATTAAACCAAAGGACCAGGTTTTCTTCTTAGAATACACAAGGGCACTTATATTTCCTCAGTATAAATGGACCTTATGTTAATTGCAAGATCTTAGGTTCCTAAAGTCTGGTGTCATGGTATACACATATAATCCCAACGCACAGTATCCGGAGGCAGGATGATTACAGAAGCCAGCCTGAACTACAGGGTAAGACCCTGTCTCAGATACCAACAGCAAATATAAAAAAGCTCCCAAGTTCCTTATTTGTTTGATTTTTATGATTTATTTTATTTCTATTTCTGTATAGGTGTGCGTGTGTGTCACATGGGTGTACTTGCCCATGGAGCCCAGCAGAGGGCGTGGTATTCCCCCAGAGCTGGATTTACAGGTGGACATGAAGCCTATTTATGTGGGTGCTAGGAACCAAACCTGAGCCCTCTGGAAGAGCTGCAAGAGCTCTGAGCTGAGTTAAGATGCTGAGCCATCTCTCCAGCCCCCTATTTCTAATGAATGATTTCAACCCAGTCTGTTTCAGGGAAAACAGCTTGTGCTTTGTAACCGCCCTGTCATAGAGTCTTTAACCGAGTAATATTTTCTTCAGTTGGGATTTGGGTGTGGTAATTTTAGTTTACCAGTGTGGTGCTTTTGAGATTTTCTTATTTCTCAGAACCCATCCTGGTAAACAAACTAGAAATCTCACATCCCCGACTTTTCTCCAGTTTTTTTCCTCCCTCCCTTTCTCCCCTCTCTTCCTTCCTCCCTCTCCTGTTTCTTCTTTCAATGTCAGTAATTCTGTCAGTAATGCTCCCATGTTCCATGTTCTCAGGTAAAATTAATTTATATAAATTTTCCGAACTTTTTTTAAACTGCTGGTTGACACTGATTATATATGGATATATATATATATACCAGTCAGACAAAGAAAACAGGCAGCATTTGGAAAGCAGGGGCTATCGACCTTCTTCAAAAGCTTCTTTAAACCCTGCCTGTGATCCAAGCCTTAGTTTTCAAGCCATTCAGCTCATGGTTTGGAGACAAATAATAGCGAATTAAAGTAGTTTCTGGAAGAGCCTGTTGGGAAACATCTGCAGGGAACAAAGACGAGTTCCATGGCAGTGGACCAGTGTCTTGACTTCAGACCACAGTGAACTTTTCTGTAAAGTACCCTCCTCATCCTCTGGGACACTTCCAGCTCCTGATGTGCCCCACTCCACCCTAAACACTCAAAGACACACTCGGCCCCCTCTGCACACTTGGAAACGAGCTGCTTGGCACCCTGGGAAGACTGCCTGCCAGTCAGCCTCTGAGGAGTCGCTTGTCATCCTCCTGTGCGGGGTGGCTCGCTCAGTCAATGGAGCGCCTGCCAGGTCAGAAAGGTTCACAGTTACTGAGGTGTCATAAGAAGAGCAGAGGGCTGGGTGATCCAAAGCCTGGCTTCGCCATTATGGATCCACTTCCCCGAGTCTCTCGTTGATTCTGGAAATCGGCCTGACTTATACCAAAGCTGCCACAGCTGTAGACACCTGGGAAATGCCATTTTCAACAATTGCCAGCAGGGCATGGTGGCACAGGCTTGTAATCCTAGTTCTTGGGAGGCTGAGGCAGGAGAGTTGAGGCCAGTTTGGGCTATCTGGAAATATTTTATTTCAAGAAAATAAAATGCAAAACATTAAATTGCCCTAGCAGTAAGGGTATACCCATTTGTTCACAGGAAGTGAGGAGGAGCCTCCGTATTCATTTCCATAGTGACTAGTATTTTTTTTAATAGAAACTGTGGAGATAGCTCAGTTAGAAAAGAACAGATGTTCAGATATGATGACCCAGGTTCAGCCCCAGCATCCATGTAAAGAGCTGGGCGTGGTGTCACATGCCTAGCTCATAACGCTAGGTGGCGGTTTCCTGAGGACTGACACTCAAGGCGCTCTCTCTCTCTCTCTCTCTCTCTCTCTCTCTCTCTCTCTCTCACACACACACACACACACACACACACACACACAGATGCATGCACATGAGGAGGCATTACTAAACACACACCACTCAGAAACTGAGTGAATATTTTATGCCTTCAACACAGACATCTAACTTGGCGTGATCCAGTTGGCTTAGAAACTGGGAATGGTGCAGATGACATTTCTTTAAGAACGGAGTCTATCCATAGATATTGGAATGTCAGGCTGGCGACGATTTCACTGCATTGAAGGTGTGGCTAAGTGTGCGGCTCTCTTAACCGTGGGAAAACCTCCTCTGTATTTAACCGAGACTGTGTGTTAGAGTATCATGGAGGAAAGGAGTGTGAACCATCATAGCGGAAAGGCTTCCAAGCAGACTGTTGACAGAGGTGTCATGTGGGTGGAATTTTTTGTCGGGACCACTGGCTTTACAAGAAAGGACATGGAGACTGATTATTGATTATAAATGCTCAGCTGATAGCTTAGACTTATTACTAACTAGCTCTTACAACTTAACCCATATTTCTTATCTATGTTTTACCATGTAGTGGTACCTTTTTCCAGCATGTCAAATTCATCTTGCCTCTCTCCGAATCCTGGTGACCCCACCCTTCATCATCCCAGGGCTCTCCTTCAACCACAAGTCTTGCCCAAACTCTTCCTGCCTAACCATTGGCCATTGGCTCTTTATTAGACCAACGAGAGCAACACATCTTCACAGTGTACAATTCTACAACAGCGCCAGGCCTCTCCCTCTGCAGACCTGAGTCATCAAGTCTCTTCTTTCTCCTAGGGCTTTAAAGATCCTGTGTACCGGGAAAGACGAAAGCAGTTCGCTGACATAGCCTACAACTACCGCCAGTAAGTCTCCCTGTTGGACAACCGAGAGAAGAAAATACCCCTAGCCCGTGCTCTAGATCGGCAACAATCAGCCCAGAACACCGTGCTTTGTGTGTGTGTGAAAGAGCTTGTATGTGTGTATGTACATGTATGTGTGTTTGTATGTGTTTGTATATGTGTGCATATGTATGCGTGTTTAAGCTCTCTTGTAATAATGTTTTAAAAAATTGCCTCTAGATCAAACAGAAGTATCCACTGCTGTAGCCCAGCTCTCTCCCAAGTTTGCTAGCTCAGTGTTCGTTGTCTGGAATGACTGGAGAGGCTTCCATCCTGAATGGGGCAGCCTATGGTCTCCACATTAGGCCAGGAGGAAAAGAGCTGGCCATTCCAGCGAATTGATATCCCAGGAGCCTTTGCACCAGCGACACTCCTACGTTCTACTGATCTAGCGTACAGTTTTGTAGGGCAACTATCAGATGGGATTTTTATTTCCTGCTCAGGATTCTATCATTTTAGCCAAGAGAAAATGGCCATATCAAATGTGTGTTTGGGAACATACTGACGTTGCTGTCGTGAGTCCCAGGAACTATGTAAATTGTGACTTGGGGAACTTGTGTTTTGAGGACAGCAGTTTCCAAGGTAAGGGAAAAAGAAAAGACATGCATAAAAAGAAGCTCCAGAGCTGTCCCAGAAACTAAGGTACCAGGACATCAGTGACAGAAGGAAATGCTGGGACCTTGTGGGGTGAAAGCAAATCTACCTGTGGATGGAGAGACATCCAGAGCATTGCTTTCTCCGAATGACTCTGGGAGGGGAAGGATCCAGAGCTGTGTGGCCTTAGTCAATTAAAGTCCATGTGGACCTGGCTTCTGTTTAGCAGAAATTAGGGAACATGGTGACCTTTCTCTGTCCTCACCTTTGTCCCACTAAGTCAGTACATGCAAGAACTCTTCTTCATAGTTATCTATGTTTTACCATGTAGTGGTACCTTTTTCCAGCATGTCAAATTCATCTTGCCTCTCTCCGAATCCTGGTGACCCCACCCTTCATCATCCCAGGGCTCTCCTTCCACCACAAGTCTTGCCCAAACTCTTCCTGCCTAACCATTGGCCATTGGCTCTTTATTAGACCAACGAGAGCAACATCTCTTTGCTGAGTATTTGGGGTTTTGCTAAATTTCATATCCCCCACATAAATAGTATTATAATAAACCCTCATTTTTTTTTCAGATGAGGAAATAGAGGCTAAAAGAAGTCAAATAACTAGGAGGTGACAAAGGCAGGCTTTAACTTTATCTGTCCCTAGAATTGATCTCACCATTTCCACAGTGTCTAGTAGCCCTGGGCCTAAGCAGGTTCAGAACCGGGGATCTCTTTCCGTCTCTCCAGCCCACACCCTAAGACTGTTCTTGTTTCAGGCTTGGCCTTCCCCTCTCAGAGTGGGTTCCGTGTGATGCTCCAGCTCAGTTAGAAGCTCTCGCTCTTTCCCACAGAGTCAGCCAAAGTTCTGTGATTGGGTCTTATCGTTCGTGACTAGACGTGGACCCGTGTGTCAGCCAATCACGGTGGTCAGGATAAAGAGACGATGACTGGACAACCCTGACCACACTCCCAGCTGTAAAGGTGGCCCTGAGTGTCCCCTTCCTCAGACGCCACAGGCCGAAGGAGACAGCATAAGAAGTGTGGGGTCACTGGCTGTGTTTGGTTTTTATTGTTTTCAGCACACAGCTTAGAAGCTGCCAAACTAATGACTCTTAAATTGCAGTTCCCATCAGTCACCTGAGGGGGCGCTATTAAGATCCATCTGTCCTCGACTTTCTGGGCTCCAGTGTATCAGCACAATAGGGCAGGGTCTCATGTCGGCGCTTTGACAAATGTGGTAAATAGAAGCGTACCTTATACCTTAGCATGCTTCTTTGTTCCTCCATCTCAATATTTATAGATTTCTTACCTTCGGTCTAGAACTTGGTTAACTGACAAATCTGTGATTTACACACCTTAAGATAGGTAGCTATATACGCTGTGGTACCTTAGCCTACATTTAAATAGCTCTAACTTCCCAGGAACAGAAACATCAAGCTTGGCAAATGCAACCTGCCCGGACAAGTTTTGAACACGCACCCTAGCTAGTAAATCCAGGTTAGCCATAGCAGAATTGCTTTCGCTGAGTGTGGGGGTCTCTGTTAGAAACAGATGCGCTGTCTAGTGTCTCAGCTCCCTGTCTGCGTATCACTCCGTCCATACTGCTTTATACCTGTGTATACTGCTTTATATGTCGCCTGTGTAGTCTCTGAAAGCACATTTCTACCTTGAACAGACAGACTGCGAGGGAGCAGAAAGGCCAAATGGTTTCCCAGAGTGATAGCAATTCCTCAACCAAACCATGGTTTCCTGTGGGGACCAACATGATAGTGGTTTTTCTCTTGCAAACAATGCTTGTAGTTCATGCTGGTTGGTGGCAGCGTCTCACAAATGGTGAAGCCCGACTCTCTCTTGTGACCCTACTTCCCCGCTGGAGACACCTGTTCCATGCTTGTATTCTAGTGGGCAGCCCATCCCTCGGGTGGACTACACGGAGGAAGAGAAGAAGACCTGGGGGACAGTGTTCAGGACCCTGAAGTCCTTGTATAAAACGCACGCTTGCTACGAACACAACCACATCTTCCCACTTCTGGAAAAGTACTGTGGGTTCCGTGAAGACAACATCCCCCAGCTGGAAGATGTATCCCAGTTCCTGCAGTGTAAGTCCTCAGCAGGGCCAAGTCCTGCAGGCAGTGGCTGGGGAGGGGGGAGGCGGGGAGGAAGCAAAGGCTGTTGGGAGTAGTGGTGTGAGGGAGCCTGCAGGCTGAGTCTCCCAAGGAAAATCCAGCTGCATCGTCTCCTGCCTTCTGTCTCACCTCCATTATCCATCTTCTTCCACCCAAGCAAAAACGGCACATAGCTGTCTCTGAAAGGATTTTTTCTCAGACCCAAAACTGAGGTGCCCAGGCAGTGTTTCCCCTGGAGTGCCCACTGTTAGGAAATGGCTGTCATGCCAAGACAAGGAGAAAGTATGCTTTTCTTGTGGCCCAGTGCCAAGAGTCCCTCGCTCTGAGTCTATTCATCTGGGATGGATCCTGCCTTTGACCTTTTCTGGTTGTGTAAATCTGCCTTCACGTGGTTCACCTGCCAAACAGACACTGTCGCCCTCTTGGCGTCCGTCACAGAGAAATCACGAGAACGGAATGAGATCTTGCATGTGAAGGCACTTGGCATGATGCTGGGTTCACTGTCAGTGTTTGGTGAATCTGAGGGTTAACGTGACCTGATTGCTCGGCAGTGCACTGTCGGAGGGGTAAGCCCCTGCAGAGCCTTCCCAAAGGGAGATAGGTTTCTCCTTCTGACAATGGGATGCTCATTCAGTAAAGCCCCAACAGTCGACCAGTTTCAACTGAACACATACGTATGCAAGGTAGGAAAAGGAGACGTGGGGGGATGGGCCACAGTCATATACAAAGGAATAATTATTCTCTGCATCAGAGCCTCGAAGAGATAGGGAATGGGCCAAAATAAGTATATGGCAGGGAGGGAGCTTAGAACTAGGACAGATGAGGCCATCTTCCAGATCTCTCCCCACATCTAGGATAAAGCAAGGAGCAAGAGTTTGAACTAGAGTGATTATCAACCTGAAAGTGTAGGGTGAAGGGAGAGAGAGCCGGTCCTAAAGATGATCTCCCATTTACTGCTGGATGCTGAGCCCATGGTAAGAATGATGTTAGCATCAATGCTAGCTGTTGCCAGGTTATACAATTGTAGTCAAAAGGCTTTGAAGCCCTGAGACCTGTGACTCTGGACCGAGAGCTTTAACCTATGCCTCAACTTCCCCATCTTTAAAGTAGGGGTGATAAAGTGTCTTCCTCGCAGCTCTTGCAAGGGGCAGCTTGTGCCTGGCATGTAGTGTTAGTCATGGTCATCAGTGGTGCCACCTTCTGCTCCTAGGGAAGAGAGGATTGAGGAGCAGGTGTAGGAAGGAGAGGACGGCTAGCAGTTGGGAGCTTTATGCAAGAGTTATTTGGAGGATGTGGTGTGGATGGGTGCTCAAAAACTTCCCAATACTTTAGCTCTTGATTAGGGAAACATCTACCACTTCTCAGCGCCCCCTACATTGTAGAGCTAAGAGAAACCCATATGCACTGCTTTACAGATGGGGGGGATGAGAGAGAGCCGGAGATGGAGACAGACACACAGACACACAGACACACACACACACACACACACACACGAGAGAGAGAGAAAGAGAGAGAGAGAGAGAGAGAGAGAGAGAGAGAGAGAGAGAGAAATTGAATGCAGTAGATTTCTCGTAGCTTTTCCTCCCAGGATGGCCTGTGTGTGGTATGGTTCTGGAAGAGATTCTGGAAGTCTCATTGTATGCTCTACTCCTAATGCTGATCTTACATCTCCTTGCTACTGCAGAAACATGAGAAGTAGTGGAAAAGTATTTGATCCTGATAAGCAGTAACCACGGAGAAATTTGCTGAATGTTTGTAAGGGACTTAGGCTCTGCTAAGTAATTTTTAGTCATTACTGTTTTGATGCTCAGTATATCCTCAGTAGGACTCACCTAAATTTTGGAGGTGAGAAAACTGAATCTCAGCAACGGGAGTTTACTTGACCCAACACAGCCAAGGGGGCAGAGACCCGAAGCCAAGTCTCCTTGGTAGAAAGTCCACACCCTGGGGCATTGCTTCTCTGCTGGGGGTTACGTAGCCTTTCTGGCTTCACGCTAGGCATTGAGTTTTAGGTTCTTCTGCTTTCCAGCTTGTACCGGGTTCCGCCTCCGACCTGTTGCTGGCTTACTGTCCTCTCGTGATTTCTTGGGTGGCCTGGCCTTCCGAGTCTTCCACTGCACACAGTACATCAGACATGGATCTAAGCCCATGTACACACCTGAACCGTGAGTATCATTCTCCCGCTACCACTGCCCATCACAGTGGGTACTAGTCCTACCTGCTAAGAACGCTAAACAGGTTCATTGCAGGCTGGTCCGCACGGTTTGTTGCCTGCTTTGTTTGATCATAGTTCTAAGAAAAATTCATACCCTGGGATTTTTTTCTTGGTCCAGATAGATGAAATTTGGACTCATAGATCTGGCCATTCTGTGAACCAAGGATTAGGATTCCCTTGCGTAGCAGGAAAAGAGGTTCCATTGAGCCGCAAAGGCAGACCACTGGAGGAAGTTCCAAATAGGACAGGCGCGAGAGTAGCCGAGTGATCTCAGCATCTCTGAAATACGCATTTAGATGGTTCCAGTTCCTTGCTTGGATTATGTCTTGGCCAGAAGGAGAGAATGGGTGGCCACTGTGCTCTCTGCTTGGGCTTCTAGCCACCTCATTAGTCACAGAGAAGTTTATCCAAAGAGATCAGTATGACGCCCCAAATTGTTTCCTTCTTATGACGTTAATGGCTGCCGATTAGAAAGGACTTCTAGCTGTCAACCTGTTACTGTTTTAGATAAATGTAGCCTTTCTTTTTTGACTATTGGCCTACTCTTGGCCAAGAAAAGAACAACTCCTTTGTTAAAAAAAGTTCTTACTGGAAAATCTGGGCACATTATCCCTCTCCAGGTAGGTGAGTAGCAAGGAGACATGGGCTGGGAGGACGCTGAACTGTGTCTCACTCCTTACACAGGTACCTGAGAAGAGACCTATGGGGATGCTGGCTTCCTGTCTCCCAGGACTCTTAGTAGCTCTGACTTTTCTTTCTTTTATATCCTTTTTTTCTTTTCTTTCATACTTTATTTCAAGGGATCCTTTGCTCAGCACAGGGCTTATTCTTTAGAGTGAAGTCCCACGTGTCAATGAGCTGTTTCTTCCTGTCCATTCTCCATATAAGATCCCTGAGTCTAACTTGGTTTCACTAGTCCCTCCACTGAATGCTGTGTTTTCTGTTTTAGTGACATCTGTCATGAACTGTTGGGACACGTGCCTTTGTTTTCAGATCGCAGCTTTGCCCAGTTTTCACAGGTAAGGAAAAAAGACATAGTTCTAGGGATTGATTGGAATGAATCAATCCCTGCCCGACAAAGGGGCTGTCACATGCTCTGTGAGAGTGGAAACAAGGTATCGTTCCACATGCTCTGAGAGTGGAAACAATGTATCGTTCCACATGCTCTGTGAGAGTGGAAACAAGGTATCATTCCAAGAACCCACCGGAGACCGAGAAGGGTGTGTGGTTCTGTGGACCAAGCTGAACACTCATTCCCAGAATTGCGGCCTGGGTCCGGTGACTGATCGTCCTCTGACGTGCCTGTGCCCAACTGGCTAATCTCAATGATTAGCTGTCCATTAGAACCTCCTCACAGATGAAGGAATCTCTCATCTCTATGCAGACGTCACCTCAGCTGCTTCCAAATTTGCCTACTACTTTCCCTCCAGTACTGAGACTTCGGCACTTTCCATCTTGTCAGGTAGTCATCTGTATGTGGACTTGATAACATTGGCCAAGAATCCAATGTCAGTGATCTTATTTATGTATAACTGGCTAGAGAAAGGAAGAAAGAAAGATAGATAGATAAAAGAAATCCAAATGTCCCATTGCCACTGTCAAAACGATACCATGGCTTTGATTCATCTTTTAGAGTAATGGTAAAGCTCAAAATTGTTTTCTGATGAGTTAAAAAAATTCTAATTCTCTCTCATCACTGGGGGGGGGGGATCTCACAATTGTGTGTGTGTAGAGGGCATCTAGGGAGATGGCGTAGCAGTTAAGAGTATATTTCTCTTGCAGAGGATCATAATTTTTGTTCAAGCACCCACATCAGGCAACTAATAGCCACCCTTAATTCTAGCTCTAAGAGAAATGATGACCGTGGTCTCTGCAGGCGTCTGCATTCATATGAATACACCCCACAGAGACACAAGGCATCCAAATAATTTTTAAAAGCTATAAAACTATTTTAAAACAGAGTTGAGTAGCCGGGATTATGGAAGATTGGAAGATGGTTCCAAGGTGCTTATGGGCTCAACCCAGAGCTTTGGTGAATGGGAGCTGTGTGAACTGGGGCAAGTTGAGAAGCCAGCCTGTGCCTCAGTTTCCACGGATTTGAATCAGTAAAATCCCCCCTTTATTAGTCTTCATCCTCACTAAAAAGAATGATAAATCAAAGGATGGCTCATGAGCGAATGCTGCTTCAAGCAGGAGTTAGAGAGTTCTGACACTGTGCGTGAATCCTCACGCATTCCCATTAGCTGCAGCAAGTGTTTACGCTGTTCAGCACTGAAGCTGCCACTTGACGTCTCAAACCCAATAAAAAGGTTCAGCTGATTCCTCAGTACTCGGAAGACACAGGCTCCCCAAACGAAAACACTTGCTGTTTCCACGTGAGGTCAGGAGAATTATGGAGCCCGGAAACCATTGGACCTCAGAAGTGGGAGTGTCTGGCTGAACTTTGACTATGGAAGTGTTATTGCCAATAGTGTAGTTACGGCTGCCAAGATGGTGTTGATTGCTCAAGGCAGTTCTAAAAGGGACTGGTTACTATGACAGGAGAATTAGAAGCTTTCTCCTTGGAGAATAGGAAGCTTACATTCTTGACCCCAGAGATAGTCTGTGTAGCTGTAGAGCAGATGGCAACCTTCCTTAAATCATTTGCATTTTGGGCAGCCCTGGAGAGGAGCGGACAGTTAACGTCAACAGACATTGTTGGATCATCTGTTTGAGGTTCTCAACTTTGACGTGGAAGGTCCCAAGGCAGAGAGTTGTTCTGTGAGAACATTTTGTTTTGATTTAAAGGCAACAGTTTCTTACCACTGTAGAGCAGTATGGGGGTGACGAGGGAGTGCAGAGGGATATTGGGGTCCCCCTATAAGCCAAGATCTTGACTTACAAAGAACAATGACAAGATATTGGGTGTCGTGGCACACACCTCTAATTTGAGCATTTGGAAGAAGGAAGATAAGAAATCCAAGCCTACCCTTGCTTGTACAGTCAGCTTGTGGCTAGCCTGGGATACATGAGACCCTAACTTTGAAAATGATATCAAGAGAAAAAAGGGCAGGGATACGATCTCAGTTTATCAATGGATTCTGTTAAACTCAGCCTATCTAGGAATAGAGATTTAGGAGAAATGAGGTGATAGAGCCAGGCTAGGGGCAATCTGAACTTGAATGGATAAGCATACATGGGTAGCCCGTATATGGTAGTTCTGTTGAACTTGTCCATGTTGGGTTTCATGGTCTAAATTGATGAGGACTACTGACCAGGTCTCTTTCTCAAGAGGGCACCAGATCTCATTACAGATGGTTGTGAGCCATCATGTGTTTGCTGAGAATCGAACTCAGGACCTTTGGAAGGGTAGGCAGTGCTCTTAACCTCTGAGCCATCTAGTTTATCCTAAATCAGACAACACTTTTTATGGGGACAATGTAGGTCAGCCTCTGGGTGGGATCTAGAGAGGCTGCATTGATATAGAGCACGTAGCCTCTTCAAGAAAGACAAAATCCTTCATCCTCCTCCCGGCCCACACCAATTCCTTTAGTGAGTTTAACCAATCCTGTGGCTGTGAATACTATCTCTAATAAAATAACGGACATTTGTGTCCTTGGCTTAGATGTCAAGGCCAAATTCAGTCTTACATATGGCCCATCAACTCAGCGTCTCTGCTCCACTGGACACTGATTAGACATCACTATATTCCTGTCCAGAGGTGAACTCTGAGTCTTCTTCAAAGCATCTGCACCCATAGGTTTCCTTGGATGAACCCATGGCAACTCCGTTCTTTGACTTGCTCAAACTAAAAAAACCTCTGGGGGTTAATGTGATCACCACTCTCGTTCATCTCTTGCTCTCTGTAGCTTCCTTGTTGGCATCTCTGCTCCTGAGGTCTGTACCTTCATGCTACGTGGCCCAGTCAGGGTGGACGTCTAAAAATATGCAGGGTCAATCTGAACCCTTCAGATGGCACTTAGTCAGGCATTGCCTGCCCATGATTGGGTGCCAGGTTGGCTTTGAGGGTTAAGTCTTGATATGGGTTGTGCCAGTGACACTCTTTCTCTCCACCCAGGAAATTGGGCTTGCTTCTCTGGGTGCACCCGATGACTACATCGAGAAACTGGCCACAGTAAGTCTTTCTTGTCCTTGGAGGGGTTATGGGAATGCTTCAGGCTGGGGCCTTCAGATCACTGAAGATTTCTTCTCTCCCTGGCAGCTAGGGCATTTGAAATCATGATAAGAATGTGTCAAATTACAGTCACAAGAATGAGATGTCACATTTTGATTTTTTTTAAGGGGCTGAATTTTTAAGTGAGCATGCTTATAGATATTTCTACACACTTGTTAATAGGATCTCCTTGGAAACATCAACCAGCTGTTCTAGTGGTCCTGAAAAAACTATTGGGCCATAATGTGCCAGGGACTGGCTGGATTTGAATATTTACCTCTCTATTCCTACACTAGAAGGTCTTTAGGGTCTTCCTCAGACAGAGGGTAAAAATGGGTCTTGGCTTCACATTCTTGCCAAACATTGTCCTCTTACCATAGAAGCAGGGACCATGCACACACAGGTGCTATGGAGTCACCAGGGCGGCACCATTGGCAATTTCCTGCCTTCCATTTTCCAGTTTCAATATATCTTAGGAATTTCTCGTTTCAGTGTGTGCCACAGGCAGAAAAGTAGAAGGCATAGAGACATTCCCGCCACACAGAAAAGAACTAGTTGGGAACGTCTAGCACATTCTAACATGTCTTATCACGTCATGGTTTATCTACCCCTGATTCAACAGGTGACAAGAGAGGAAGACATGAGATGCAGACGTGATGCTATGCCCCCCCTCCCCCCGATTCAGAGACTGTATCTGTGCAGACTCCTACTTACCGGATATGTCCTGGTACTTTGGGTACCCAATGCCTTGCTCGTCCCTGATAAGCATCTTTTGCTTGCTTGCTTTCTCTTCCAGATTTACTGGTTTACTGTGGAGTTTGGGCTCTGCAAGGAGGGAGACTCCATTAAGGCATACGGCGCCGGGCTCCTGTCATCTTTTGGCGAATTACAAGTATGAGTTTAACGGACACCAAGCATGGGTGCTTAGAAGCAGGGACACGGGGGAGCATCCTCATCCTTGAGGCTTCGCTGAAGTGAGACTGGATGTGCTTAGAGCTGCGCTTTCTTAGGCAGTCGATGCCTTAGCAGCTATGATCTGGGCACACCTGTGTGTTAGAGGTAGAAATGCAAGCACAAGACTCCAGGACTAGTCGGGCGGTGGTGGCTCATGCCTTTAATCCCAGCACTCGGGAGGCAGAGGTAGGTGGATCTCTGTGAGTTCGAGGCCAGCCTGGTCTACAAGAGCTAGTTCCAGGACAGGAACCAAAAAGCTACGGAGAAACCCTGTCTCGAAAATCAAAAAAAAAAAAAAAAAAAACTCCAGGACCCTGTGAAGGAGAGGCCTCCTGAGTCTAAGCCGACCTGGACATGCAACTTTGTAAATATGCAAACATATGCCAAGAAATATGGTCGGCGCTCCCAGTGTCTGTTGAGTTCCTTACTATGAAGTGTTTGCAGTGAGTTCTTTCTAGCTAACTGTAGGTTTTTCATGAGCTATGGAGAGCTGATCCAGTACATGCTAGACAGCTCAGTTTACTGGATTTGCACTGGGCTAGGGAAACAGCGGGATGAGAGGAACTTTGCAGATGGATTATGGGATGGAGGTGAGAACATAGGCATTGGATTAGCCAAGAACTTCTCTCTGGGTCCCTGCAGTACTGTCTATCAGAGAAGCCGAAGCTGCTGCCCCTGGACCTGGAGAAGACGGCCTCGCAGGAGTACAGCGTCACAGAGTTCCAGCCCTTGTACTACGTGGCAGAGAGTTTCAATGATGCCAAGGAGAAAGTGAGGTGAGATTCCAGAAAGAAGGCCCGAGACTGCCTGTTCCAACTGAGGTCTATTTAGTGAGGTGTGAACATTCCCCCAAGGTCGAAGGGGGTGCTCCGTAAGAAGAGAAGGGAAGAGACTTGGTCCAGTCATAATCAGAGATGTGCATCTCATGACACAAGGCACCCACTCACTAAGCTGAAGTTGCTTTCAGAGAGGGCAAGTGGAAGCAGACTTTGTGAGTCACAAGTCATGCAGTAGCATGTGTGATGACCCTCTGAGCTGGGGACTGTCACTAACCTGATCTTAGAGAACAATAAGGAATGTGATGAACAGAGGAGAAAAAAGCCTATTGCTCATGATCCCAAGGGCTGTAACTGACAAGAAAGGAAGCCAGACAGCATGACTTGGGGACTTAGGATGCTGCTCTTGCCAAACCTGGGGCAACTTACTGCCTGTCCTGATAATTGCCATTTTCAGTACAGTAGCTTTCACTTTCATCATAGGCTAACCTAGACATAATATCTAAGGTGTCTTTCGAGCGTCTTGTTAGTTATACTGATTGATGTCCCTCATAAAGACCATCCCTGCGAGATTCCTACAGACTTGGGAGTCATGCATAGGGAAGGCAGGAAAGCACCCAGATGAGAACCAAGCTGCCTGGGTTCCTTCATGGCACTGCAACTGACATTGATGGCCCACGTCCTGTTTACCAAAGTTCAGCCTCTGTGTTTGTAAACTAGAGGTAACCACAGTACTTAATTCTTAGGGCTTGGGTAAAGGGTTACTTAGTGATATTTTTAAGGGGTTTAGAACAGTTAGAATTTAATATGGTCCTAGGTTCATTTCAGACACCTAATCCATGCCACTATAGTTGTTTTAGTTAATTGACCAGAGCTGTGTTTCTTTTTGCAGTGATTGTCAAGTACCTTTGATATTTTTTTAAAGTAGTACTCTGTAGCTAGGTTTCATTTTCTCAGTTACCTTATTGAATAAGTCATTGCCTATTGCGCTTTTACACATGCATACAAAGGCTTCTCCAGCTGCCCTCACTCAGTTGTATTTTACGTCTCTGCCCCAGCTTCTGAGCTGCTGTTCTAGGGAGTTCCAGAGCTTATAGCAAAGTAAAGGCACTTGGAGCCCCTTCAGCATAACCTCTCTCTAAATGGTACCCTTCACTTAGGCCCTTGATTTTGGTTTCAGGGCCTTTGCTGCCACCATCCCCCGGCCCTTCTCAGTTCGCTATGACCCCTACACTCAAAGGGTTGAGGTCCTAGACAACACTCAGCAGTTGAAGATTTTGGCTGATTCCATCAATAGTAAGTACCTCTTAGCCTCTTGGTACCTCACTACCTTCTCTCCCAGGATAGAGGCCATCTCTTCTAACCTTTCCTATGGGGACAAAAGAAACATCTCCATAAATGTCATAGGTTCGCTGGAGGGGAAGGGTTGTGTAAACTGCCTAACCTGTCCCTTTGACCTCCTGGCATCCAATCCCATCTCTCACCACTTCTCCACCTTCTTGCATGCAGCCCGACACTCTCAGGTTTTCCCTCATTATTTGCCTTTTGGCTGCTTTTCTTCTCAATGACAGTGGATATCACCCTGCCTGGAATCTCAACTGAGAACTAAGTTCTGTCTGCTTCCTTGGCTGTCCACTCCCCAACCCCTCTACTGATGTCAGCCTGCTGCTCTTCCTTGGTGGTGGATGTTATAACAGTTACTGTAGTAACATTGCCGGGCTCCCTTGTTCATACCTGCTTCACCGTGGCCCCCGAAATCACCCTCTAGCAACATGGACCAGCTTCTGGTCCCTGCACACTCACCTGACTTTTGCCCATGGCATCCTTTCTGCTTCAAACACTCTTCTTCCAGGCCTATGTGAGGTGTCCAAAGCCAGTCCATCTCCCATGTGTAGCACAGACATCTCTTCTTGTAGGACATCTTTGTATTCTTGTAGATCTTCCTTCCAGAGGATTTCACCATTTTAGAATCACTCTGTTCTCAATTAGACCTGAACATAGCTAAATATCAGACTCTTTGTCAAGTCTCTAGAACCTAGCCTTACTCATAAGGATTATATTCGATACTTTAGTGTAGATGGAGGCTGCTCGTTCACTCCCAGCTTCCCAGCCCCAAAATAATCACACAGCAACTATGTTATTTAAATCACTGCTTGGCCAGTCATATAAGCATATTGCTAGCTAGCTCTTATATCTTAAATTAACCCACTTCTATTAATCTGTGTATTGTCACATGGCTGTGGCTTACCAGGCAAAGTTCCAATATCTGTCTCTTCCAGCAGCTACATGTCGTCTCACTGATTCCACCTACTTTCTCCCAGCATTCAGTTTAGTTTCCCCAGCTAGCTCTATTATGTCCTATCACAGACCAAAGCAACTTCTTTATTCATTAACCAATAAAAGCAACCCATCTACGGAAGGACTTCCCGCACCACTTATGAGCTTTTGAATGAATGGGTGAGGAATGCCTGCAGGAAACCACCAAAAGATGTTTATATAATTAAATCATATTTCTGTAAGAGCAAAAGAAACTTTGTATGCACCACTAAAACACTGGGATTCATAATATGTAATGGCCTCATATATAAGCCCAGCTGTTTCAGGCAGAGTGTGTGCATCTGTGTGTCCAGAACCAAAACTGCACTTGAGTGGCATCATATGACACAGGCTAGCACTACAAAACTACCCTGGATTCATTATGGATCTAATTTATAATTAGGTTTTTATTTCCATTATCAGTATAGTGGGCATGGTGGCAGGCAGGCAGGCACAGTGCTGGAGAAGTAGCTGAGAATTCTATATCCAGATCCACAGGCAGTAGGAAAAGAGAGTGAGCCATTGGGCTTGGCTTGGGCTTCTGAAACCTCAAAACCCACTCCTAGTGACATACTTCCTCCAACAATGTCACACCCACTCCCATAAAGCCACACCTTCTAATTCTTTTCAAGTAGGGCCACTCCCTAATGACCACTCATTCAAATATTTGAGCCCATGGGGGCCATCCCTATTCAAATCATCCCAAGTGCTGAAAAAAAAAAAAAAGATAGCCCTGAGTTGTAGTACCAAGCTAAATTTCCTCAATTTGTGCAGAGGCTTTGGACCTCAGATGATTCTGACATGGGGGACTTAAATGAACCCCACTCCTTTCGTTGAAGTCTTGAAGCTGTTATGGATAGATGTGTCAAAAAGAGCACACAGCCCTGGGCATTTTCTTGGAAAGCCTGTTGCTTAAACAAACCCCTTTAGCTCCAGGAAACATCTTGTGAAGGGTAGGGGCAGATCATATAGACAACCCTAGAACTCATTACACACTAGACCCAGCCTAGTGCTGTCTCTGTAGCTAATGGGCAATTGCTCTGAAGTTTAGGGTGATCCACCCCAGCGACCCTACTGGGCTTCACATCTATTAACAAGTGACTCACCTATTTGCCGTTCTTCTTCGCAGGTGAGGTTGGAATCCTCTGCGGTGCCTTGCAGAAAATAAAGTCATGAACAGGAAATGACGTCATGGGTAGAACTTGGGAGATCAACCAAAAATCTGTTGATAGACATATAATGACCGCTTCTTTCCATCTGACAAGAAAAACCTTGATTTGAAATGTTGGCTTTTATTACTTCTTACACAGTGGGCATCACCAATTAAATCTAACTTCTCTTAAATGAAAATATATTAAAACCTACCAGGGGTCAATCTTTCAGAGTCATCTTTATGATTTAGACATCTTATACCTTTAGTTTAAAATGTAATTTCTCACCTCCTTTCAATATTCATTAAAATTTGTTACCCTTAGGCTTTTTTTTTTTATTTTCGAGACAGGGTTTCTCCGTAGCTTTTGGTTCCTGTCCTGGAACTAGCTCTTGTAGACCAGGCTGGCCTCGAACTCACAGAGATCCACCTGCCTCTGCCTCCTGAGTGCTGGGATTAAAGATGTGCGCCACCACCGCCCGGCACCCTTAGGCTTTATCTGTTTGTTTTTATCTCCCAGGTAAGCCCTAATGGAATACACACACACACACACACACACACACACACACACACACACACGTATATAGATGGCTAAGTGTAAAACATAAGACTGTCCTCAGGGATAAATCATTTGGTTCAGTACAGATCTCAATCTATGAAGCTGAGCTTCTATGTTCATTCACTATGGCTCTGAGAACGGTTTGATTATTCTGCCTGTGTAAATCTCCTCTGATTTGAGACTTCTCAAGATAGTTATAAGCAATAAAGCTTTAAATCATTATATAAAACATTATGTGTGCTTTATTTATGCATAGTGTGCTGCAGACTATGGACCTGCCCACCACATCCCTCTCCCACAGCTGCTGACGTCATTTTCATGTTACTTCTCAAGTACGTTTGAGAAATAGTTTGAAGGCACTTGTCATCTGGCAGATATTAGCTGGGGATAATAGAGTAAACATTGGAAGAATAGCTGGACACATTTAAAAATAGCAAATCCACTAGAAAAGTGAGGCTTTTATTTATGCTGGAGAGAAATGTCAATGTTACGAAATTTTAAAGCTTCAAATGCTTTTTGAATTAAATATTTTTCTCACTGCCTTAGAAATCCATTAGCTGGGAAATCTTGGGACACAAACTCGAGACTCAGGGACCCAGCCCACTGCATGTATCTTTATGATCACTGAAGTCAGTTGTGGGGCATCAGTAGACTTTGGTTTTTATTGGTTATGAATTTTTCATGAATACATGTAACATATGAGATACAATGGGGGCTGTCTTTGTCTTTTAGGATGTGATTTAAAGTTCTTACACAGCGCACAATTGATTTTGGAAGCAGTTACGTCTTAGGGGATTTTTGTGGTGTTTCTTCAAGGCTATGTCTCAGACCAACTGTAGCATCAGCATTAACCTGGAGCCCTCTCCTCTCTCTTCCCATTTAGAACCACGGGGCAAGATGCTCAGCAGCATCCCCAGGTTACCCTTTCCTTCACATTCGCTTATTTATTTATTTTATTGGGGTCTTGTGCATATGTCATGTATACATGCATGTGAGTGTTTATGGGTGTGCAGTATCTACATGTGCAGATGTGTGTGCCTGTGGTTATTCATCTGAAGGTCAGAAATCAGTGTTGGATATCTCCCTCTCATATTCTCCACCTTATTCTTTGAGTCAGAGTCTCTCATTGAGCCTGGAGCCCAGTGTTGGTGTAGAATGGATAGCCAAGTACCCATGATCCTCTGGTCTCCGCTCTTCTGTGCTGGATTACACGTGGGTGCAGTTGCTCCTGACCTTTTGCTTGAGTGGGATCACAACTAAAGTCCTCATGCTTGCACTGCAAGAACTTTACTCACCAAGACATCTCTCTACCCAGCAATCCAGGATGACCGAAATGGAAGAAAGCAAGCACTGATAGAGAGATGCTCTGTGTTCAGGGATTGCAAGAACTAATATTGTTCAAAAGTCCATCTAAGGTTGTGTTTTCCTCCTCCCCAGCCAAACTATATGGGTAGCACAAATGGACTTGGTGCCGGGACTGAAAAGAATAACGAGAACTTGAAGTTTGGAGGGGTAGGGGAGGAGGCGGAGCTAGATCAGGAAGAAGTCATGGAGAGGGGGTGAATGTGATTACAGCACATTGCATGAAATCAACAAAAAATTAATTTGAAATGCTCATCTAATCATAAGTGATTAGCGGATGTAATGAAATTCTTGTCCAACCCCATTGATCTTTTAGCAGAATTAGAAAAATAAATCCTACAACACACCCAGACTCCTCAAAGCCCACTATTAGCTAAGGAAACCTTGAAGAAAAAGAATAACACTCGAGGCATTACACCACTTAATCTCATAATGACCTATAATCAAAACACCAGGGTATTATCATGTAAAGAAGACATCTAGAAAAGTGGGACAGAATAGAGAGCCCAGCAATAAATCTACATTTATGATCAGTTGATTCTTGACAAATGTGCCACAGATATTCCAAGGTGGAGAAAGACAAACTTTTAAAACTAGTAGTGGAGAAGCTAAATATGGATATGCAAAAGAATGCAGTTGAGCTTTTAGTTAATATCTTATATGAAAAGCAATTAAAAATGTAACAATACAATTAACAGAGTGGAAAGGCAACCTGTGGAATAAAAATATTTTTAAAACGTACGAATGTGTACATGTGCGTGTGTTCCTATGTGTATATGTATGCATATATTATAGCCAAAATACATAAAGAGCTAAACTGAAAGGCAAGAAAAGAATCTGACTACACAGCATGCAAAGGACCAAGTGCTGCAGCTCCAGAGTCCATCCAGAGGTTGCAGAAGGTGGGGCAGACCAGGGCCTTAAACACCCACTGGGCAATGCTGGCCAGGACCATGGACAGCTCCCACTCCCTGGTTCTTTTACTAGAAATCAATCTTAGGTTCTAATCCCTAGAATAAACATCATGCGGACGGTTCTGTCTTTCCCTAGCTACAGAACTTCCCACCCACCACCAGGTGTTTTCTGAATTACTCCAGTTCAGCCTTGAGCTAGGAGGCACGCGATGGTCCAAAGTTGAAGAGCTCAGAAAGGACAACGCTTACAGTTGTCTGGAGCTCAGTTTCCATATCCTCATAGGACAAGTGACAATCGAGTGGGGCATCCAACAGAGAAAGCAGCTACAGCACTGGAGATATGAGAGCCCAAGTCACTGCTTTTGCTTCAGGGGTGGGTGGTGATGGGGTGGTGGGAGAACTAGGGGAAAAGAGGAGAGGCCTGCTTCCTTTGAGGTCTTGTTCATTTCCAAGAAAGGAAAAGGAGAGATGCGTCAGAGTCCTCCACTCAACTGAGATATAGAGACAAAGATAGATAGATAGATAGATAGATAGATAGATAGATGATAGACAGAGGGTTTTATGTTTGTGTCTCTGTTTTTGCAAGGCAAGAGGTCAAGGTTGAATGCTTTCTTCAATGGCTCGATGAAAAAAAGACCCCATTTTCTGAGACAGGGTCTCCCACTGAACCTGGTGCTCACTGATTAAACCAATCTAACGGGCGAAGAATGGAGCTGAGCTCATTAGAATCGACAGAGTCCCTCTTCTTTCCCATCTTCTCTTTCCTCACCCACCTGTGTGTGGAAGAGGGCCTGTAATTTGATATTGATCTTCTCAATACCCACACTTCAGCAGCCACTGGAATTTCATTACAGTCTTCTAGTCCCTTTCCTTTCTTTGAAAATTAATATTCTCATTTATTCTTTGAAAATCTCATGTATTTATACAATGTATTTTGCTCATAGTTACTACCTTCCTCCAACCCCTTCTAGTGCCCTCAACCCTGTCAACTTTCCAACTCAAGCCCTCTTTTTTATTGTTGCTAAAAATACCCTGACTCCAATAGCACTACCCATATGTGCATGGGTGTGGAGTCATCTACTGGAGCATGAACAACCTCCCAGCAGCCACATCTCCAAAGGAAAGTGACTATCCCTCCCTGAGCAGCCATCAACTATCAATAAAGCATCCACTAGGGCTGATCCCTCAAGGGCACTCTCCCCATCTGTGCTGCAATTTGGATTGGCTTCACCTTGTCCGGGTCTTGTGTGGGTAACCGTAGTTGCCGTGAGTTGCTTTGTGCAGTGGCTATGTCATGTTCAGAAGGTGGCATTTCACAGCTCTCCTATCCTATTTAGTAGTTTTTGACAACTTGATACAGCCTAGCATCACGTGGGAAGAGCGAGCCTCCATCAGATAGGCCTGTGAACCTGCCTGTGGGATATTGTGTTGATTGCTAATTGGCAGAGAAAGGTAGAGCCCTAGGCAGGTGAACCTGGGTTGTATGAGAAAGCTAGCCAAGTGAACTAGAGAGCAGCGTTACTCGGCTGGTTCTGCGGTGAGTTCCTGCCTCGTCCCTACATTAGATACTCTCAATGACTGATTTCCTAGAAGTGCAAGCCGGGATTAACTCTGCCCTGTCCAAGCTGCTTTGGGTCAAAATGTCTTATCTCAGGCACAGAAGGAAAGTAGACAGTGCCCCATTCTTGGGCTCTTAGATTTTTTTCCCTCCACCCTCTTCTGCTATATTCCCTTAGCTTTGGCTAGGGAGAGATTCAGCTAGGCACCCACCCACAGCTGAGCGCTCAAGTTTACTCATACTCAGCACTCTGGTTATGAGTCTCTGCATCCACCGCCCACTACAAAAGGAAGCTCCTGTATTGTATTAGGAAGTATCTAGAAACAAGCCAAGCGCACATCATGAAGAGGTTGTTTAGACATATTATTGCACCTATAAAAGCTGACTTGGGAAGCTTACTACATATTGTAAAATGAAAAAAAGACCACACTTTAGGTTTTAAAAGATAGCAATAGGTTATATGTATAGCTCATGGAAGAAATAAAGTCTAGTGATTAAGAATGCTGACTGTGGTCACTGTGACTGGAAACCAAACTGAAAGATACTTTTTTCTTTGCTTTATATTATCTTTTTAAATTTACTTTTATTTTTTATTATTTTAAAATAAGGCAAGTTATCTTTTTCATTTTATATACATCCAGTCCATTTGGTGTTCTGTAAGCTTCTTGTACCTTCATAGGGATAGCTTTCTTTAGGTTGAGAAAGTTTTCTTCTGTGATTTTGTTGAATATATTTTCTGTGCCTTTGAGCTGGAGTTCTTCTCCCGGTGAAGCAGTGAGTTTTTATTGGGGTTACTAACAGGAGTGTGGTGAGGCTGAGGG